AAGAGCCATTGTATTAATAGTATGATGTTTACCATGATAACCAAGTTCCTTGAACGCTTTTAGAGTTTTATCAGAAAATCTCTCCCTTTTTAATTCTTTACGGTCACGCCAGGTCAAGCGTACCCTTGTTGAGCCCGCATGCGTAATGAGCAGTTGAATCTTGACTACAAAATTAATTTTCTGTATTCAGTCAGAATTGAAAAAAAAAAACTGAGCTGGCTGAAATTTCTATAAAAGTTCAAGTACCTCACATGTGAATTTACTTCTCGTTGCGCATGCGGGAATGCATACAGGGGATGAAGTAACGGATTCAAATAACCAGCTAGTTAATGGTTTCTTGGAAGGTACGCTACCCGGGTGAGGAATTCCTGGAAATTCTTGGTAAGACTGTGCCGCCGGTTCTCCAAATCCAGACGCAAATGCCATTCTTCACACCTGTTTTCATACCTGGCCTCTAAAATCGATATCCGTTTTCAGACCTGGCCTCTAAGATATGATGTCATCATTACTTAGAAACGCTAACAAAAAGATTTCTTAAAAGCTACTTCGAACTCGCATATTTATCTTTCTTTCTTATTCATCTGGAATTGAAAGGATGAATACGTTCATACACTCCCGTAGTTTTCTCAAAATTCAGACCCGATTCCAGACTAAAATGGGCAAAGTCTATACCTGTTTTCAGACCAAAAACGTCGCAAAAACCGTACCCTTTGGGGCGGCACATACTCATATGGCTTAAATAAGGGAGAGCCCCCGCCCCCGGGTCCTCCCAAGAGAACTTGAAAACACTACTCAAAAAAGATTTTCGGGGTAAATAAAACATATGCGCCTTACATTGTCTTTAGTAAGAAGTACCAACCAACGACGCCTCGGCTGTCCTAATGTAGTTATCGCTACTCCAAACAATAAAAGCCTTCCACACTAGTCAAAGAAGGAACAAACAACTCAAAGACCATCTCCCAGTTAGCTTTAATTGTTAGCTCAATTGGTACAGAGCTACTCTCGCGTCGCAGAGGACAAGGGCTCGAATCCATCATTTAGAACTGAATGCTGAAATTGGAAGTGTAATATAGAAGGGACTATGTACTGTATAAGACCGCGTCTCGTCAAATTCTTTTTTGAAGATGTATCAATTTTTGCACTTTTGGAAACAGACGCCACTGTCAGCTTCGGAATTAATGGAGTGCCAATAAGTCAATGTAAATGAAACTTTCACACGAAATGGCAGGCATCATCAAATATCCACGGTGAAATTTCAGAGAACATGGAGAACTCTTAGAGTTATAGCAAAAATCGCGTTTATTACACCAGAAAGCATTCCAAGCAATGATTTTATAGCGTAGAAAAATTATTTGAGGGAGCATTCTGAAGTGATTTCAGAAATACAGAATTTATTTTTATAGATGCATTAATTAGTTTATGCTGCAGTAGCGGAGAGAATTTAACAGGATTAAAATCTCTGTGCTTCATTTCAATTCAGATACATAGGTAAATAAAATAGGACACGTGATTATAAGATACACCAAAATAAAGCAGAACTCAGCAATTTACTTTCAGCATAAAAAAAATATTTATATTGTGCGTACACCTTTATTTTCCTTGTGAAACAGTCAGGAGGAGGCAATCACCTCAGTTCCATAAGACCTCTTATTGCAGTTTCCCACCAATTCGTTATGATAAATTCTTACCACATACATAAGAAAAACAATCAAAACAAATAATATGTACAAAAAAAAAACACTCTTACCTAATGTTTTTGGCTTCAGGTGTAGATCAAGTGACTCTCTTTATATCTCCAATTATGGATATATGAAAGCTCTTGAATGTCAGCATGTGGTCAATGCTTTAGCCAACAACATATTTTTTTTTTATTTTTTGTCTTTATTTGTTTATTACTTCTGTAAAGACACTAGATCCGAAGCTTGATTTAAGATTTTGTTTGCTAATTTGAGAATGAAATTAAAGTTGAGCCTAAATCGATGAATTTGCTTCCCGAGAACTTGGCTAAACACTCCACATTTTCTCTCTGAATCAGAATTATTACGGTAAATTAAAAACTCAAAATTCCGAATCTTTCCTTAAAAGTCCTAATTTTCAATATTGCTCGACTCAGGCTGCGTCAATGTATTGACTGCAATTAATTATGATGTTAATTCCTTTTCAATTGGTTTCCTCTGTCGAAAAATCATTTTTGTTATAAGTAAATCTAGAATAAGATTGGAGGTTAAACTGCAAGAGCCAACTATCGTCTTTTCTTTGGGTTGTTTCCCGTCAAGCGGGATATTAAATCAGTCATTATCCATTACTACCTTAAAGACCACCGTAGGGAAGTAAAAGGATAAAAAAAAAACACTTGGACTGGCATAATAAAAAAAAATTATTCTCACTTTTATTTGTTTGTCACTGCACATGTACATGTACATGTACCAGAAAGAGTCGTACCTGTACATGTACTTCGGCTTGAAAGTCAGTCCTTAAATTATGGGTGCGGTAATTTTTGGCGTCTGTCAAATGACTTGAATAAACAAATGCCACCTACTTAGAAATCGACAGTCAACACATTTTCAGACCCCAACACCATGCCACTTACGCTTTCACTGAAAACTTTAAGAATCAAATTTCCGAGCATCCCCCAATAATTGCAGTTGTAGGAAACTGGACAGTACGGAATTGCAGAGTTTGTAAGAGAACGATTGGCGCAACTGCAGTACAAATGATGACTTCAAATTTCTTTTCCCGCGTCTTTTTCCTGTAAAGGACTCTTTTTAATTTATTTAACGTAGAAAGGGGCTTTCCGACAAAAGCATGAGGCCAAACCTCAACCGACAAAGATGGAAATTTATTTCATAACAGCACTTTGCTGTAAAAACTTTAATTAACAGAAAGGAAATAATCTTTAGTTAATTTGACATTATTTGCACCTATTTCCATTTCTATAGCTACGTGCAAGATCGCACGTTCTTATTACAACCTGTCCAATCGATAAGTTCATTTCGTTACCGTTAACCATCAGAAATCTCACTCTCCACGGAGCCTCAAGTGAAGACAACTGCAGGGATACAAGCAGAAGAGATCGAGTTAAGGTTCTTGTCTTTCTCAAAACATACTAATTTTATCCGTATTGATTTACAATAAGGGACTTTTTAATGTGTTAACGAACATAACCCATTGGCCCCGAGCATTTACCGTATTATCGCACCAAACCTTCCCCCATTTTCAAAATGGGAAGTCCAAGATGACGCGAAACTTTTCCCCCCAAAAATTAGCTATTTCTGTGCCCTGCCTTTGGCTCTTGAAAGGCGCCTTAATACTGCAATCATTGAAAAAAAAAGGGCAAGGAAACGGTTTTATTAAAACCTTTTTTTTACGTTAAAGCTTTTTCCCCTTACTTAAAGTGCCTAGTTCGAGGGAAATTGTACTTCAAAGTATTTTTAGAGTCGTCAGCAGGACTATTCATATGCCTTAAGAATTTGAATTTCAAAGCTGAGAGGACGAAATTGTAATAACTTTCTATTTGCATAAGAGTTTATTACTGACAGGATATGGATTTCACTATTTTGTCGCTGGGCTACACTGGAGAATACTATAACTTATGTCATGAAAATATCTTTATTTCTTCGTTTATTGCAACTCTATCGTATACTTTCCCAGTGCCTATAGTAATTAAAAACAACATGAAGACAAATATGCTGAAATCTCAATAAGAGGAACAATTTTTGGTGAGAAATCTGCGATGGACGTAGATGTGATCTTCCCACTTATATTAACTTTGAGAGAAAACTAGGCAAAATTTTGATGATATTATTCTATACTAGGAGTAATCGGAGCTTAGGGGGGTGTGTTCTATATGATTTTTAGGTGTGCAGGTAACAGTTGAGGGGGAAGGGTGGTTGGTTGATGGCATATTTTAAACGTTAGGTTTGCTTACAGCGAAACCTCTATTTAAACTGTGTACCATTATGAAAAAGTCTTCAAGGCTAGTGATATCGTATGGTTCATCTCAACAAGTGCAGTAGTTTGGTCGAGTGGATTGATTTCAGTGACTTGTGCGGAGCTACTGTGGGCTGTTTATAAGTTTTTGCGAATGAATAACATAGACCTAAAATGTTCGTTTGTCCGGTGCCGAAAATATCACATGTCATGATGAAATGGCGCCGCCGAGCTTCTCATCTCGATAAATTTACTTTGTGGCACAACGGTCGCCGGAACGTTTGAACGATGAACGCTTTGGAAGATTCAGCAAACACAGATCGATAGTAGACCTTCAGCAAACTCTTGAAATATGTACGCTTTACGAAGATTCAGCAAACGTTTAAAAGATGAACGCTTTACGAAGACAGAATAGCAGACCTCAGCAAAAGTTTGAAAGATGAACGCCGAGGACACAAGAATCACCATGTGAGTTAGTGCATCAAAGTGAAGCAAACAGAAGCAAGGGCCTGAAAGCGAGGCAAATGTGTTTCGACACAAATGCAATCTCGAAAAACCTCGCTTATTAATTGCACAGGACACCCAACAGATATTAGTGGCTGCGTTCTCGTACCTTGAACTCAATGCAGAGATAAAGATTCACGTTTATTCTCTATTCTCAGAATAGAAAATAAGCAGATAAACAGTCCCGAACGATTCCTATGGTTAAAACTGGCATAAAACTACTTATTTTTTTTTTGTAGAAGCAATAAAGAGTGAACGGAAAATACGGGGAAAACTTGGTCACGTGGTATAAATTCACGTCTGCCGTTTGGCGTCAACGTAAATTTTAATCTCTCTAATTATTGGGAGAATCACATCTCAATTCACCTCTCTCGTCGGCGGTTTAATTGTTTTATTTTTGTGTCTCTAAATCATAATTAAACAAGGTAAAATAAATACTCAAAACCGTCCCCTTTCTTCACCAGTCAAGCATCGCGGGGATCTAAGGGTGGGCATCTATATGCAAGAGGTTTCTCAGTGTTGTTGACAATCACCATTCTTTGATATTACAGGTGATTGCATCGTAGATGGGCAATTCGCTAAAGCCACAAAACAAAACTCAGGATGTCTTACTGTCTGAGAAGGCAAACATCGCATGGAGCACAATATTTGCTTTAGTCGCTGTCATCATTTTGGCGGGAAATTCCCTTACAGTTGCAGCGTTCACTACCAGACGTTTGGTGCGCAGGCGCACACATTTCTTTCTGATCAGTCTGGCCGTGGCTGACTTGATGGTTGGGGCCCTGGTGATACCACTTTACATCTACTTAAGTATACAGACGGATTTGCCGAAAGGCGCTGTGCATCACGTCTTCGAAGCAGTGGATATTCTTGCAGGGCTTGCTTCAGTCTTTACCCTAGCCATGATATCCGCGGAAAGACTTGTCGCTGTTGGCTGGCCGCTTGTTCACCGGATGTTTCGTAAGCGAAGCTACTTTAATTTCATAAGCTTTGCTTGGTTATTTGCCTTAGCTATATCAGTAATAAATCTGCTCTATCGTTACAAAATAGTGCCTTACTTTGCTACCCTGGATATTGTGCTGACTGCTTTGTTGACCTCTATTGTTTTCACTTGCACTGCGTACATCGCTTTATGGATCAAAGTTCGTTTTCGGGATTACGGAGGATTTCTTGGTAGGGAACATGACAAAAAGCTTGTAAAAACGTTGTTTCTTGTCACTGGAGTTTTCGTTTTAACATGGACGCCTTTTCAGGCGCTGCTGTTTGTTGTCCATTTCTGCGGAACTTGTCCGATCCCCCCGCAGAATGTAGTAAACTTTATTAAGCTACTACATTTCTGTAACTCTTTTATGAACCCAATAATTTACTCCTTAAGAATACCTGAGTTTCTCATTGCAATTTCTGACATCTTTAACTGTCGATACACCCCACATAATAGTGAAATTACCCTAAGAACACTACGCGGACAAACCTTGGATACAATGACAGGAATTCTAAGTTCCTATTCGTCACTGAATGTGCGTTTCTGCATGGGCACAAAGAATATGGTCACATCTGAATTAAATTCGTCGACGTTCAGGCAAAAATTCTTCAAGAGGACAAGCTCCAGGATGAACTCTAGTCGTAGGACGCACGTGACTACGTCTCCAGTTTGACTGCAATTGCAACAATTGGTGCCAGGTCAGCCATGAATTGGCTATTTAGAAGTTGATTGAGAATGAGCACAGGTCGGGCGGGTATCGTTTTATACTATGGGATTTTTATGGGAACGCAATTACCGATTAATAGACAATTATTGGATTATGTTTTTGCGCTATCCCGAATGATCAAGCAGCTGATTGACTATTCATTCCGGATATCACAAAAACCGAATCTAACATTAACACGTAGATATATATTTTTTAGCAACTAATATAATTTACAGTCTGTCTACTTTCAATTGCTTTATTATACATTACGTTGAGGAAACATGCACTGAGCACAGTTGACCTTGCCATTGGAAATCATGCATTGCTTGTGCAACTTACAGATAAGTCAGTCGCATGCTTGTAGAAGAGAAGATGGTGAGCCCAATAATCTCATTAATTGGTTAAGACCAAGAGGTAGCAGAGGAAACTGAACAAACAATCCCATAATACAACTCGATCCAACACCGTCTTGGTCTCAATCCCAACCTTGAAATGTTTATTACTGGTCTAATATCAAAGTGTTGTATGAATTTACAGGTTTTGACTGGAATTACAGCGGTTACCACTAACAGGCGCCCTCGAAGGGTTTTTTCTCTCTCTTGAAACCTGAGTTTTCGTCAACTGTTTCCATGGTTTTCTCACTCGCTCTGACAGAGAAGGTTCCCTCATCGCTGAATAAAGCGGGCAGACTTACCAAGTTACCCTGATCTGTGTGCCAGTAAATTCAATATGAAAACCTTAAAGCAAGGGACACACATACAGCTGTTCATGGCTGCAACTACCCGGGTGATATGGCTGTGCGCATGCGTAAGGTACTGTCCAGGCCGTGGGTTAGTGTATGTGTGCTCCTTGCTTTAAGTTTGTCTTAGTGGGAAGAAGTATTGAGTGAGAACTCAGTTATTCTTTAATTGTCACTTTCAGTTGTTGAAAACGTGGATAGCCCTATCCACCGGATAAATCTTTATCCACTGGATACAAAAGAGAATGAACTCCCACAAGCCACGGCCATCTTGCTCTTCAGAAGCTACTCTGGCCAGATTTTTCCACATAGAAATCTTTTGACTTGTCGACGAAAGTAACACCAAGTTTTCACGTCATATCGCTTGTTGTGCGTGATCGGCAGTGAAGTGATTTACCCCGCCAAGTTTGAAATTACCTGACACCACTCTAACCGACCAATAAGGTGGCGTCCTTAAAATAATCACGCAGTATGACACAGAACCAAGAATAGATTGAAAATACTTTTCAAGGGAAGAGGATCGTGTATGGGGAATTCGCTCTCTTAAATCATTCTCTCTTGCTGGATATCGCAATCGGTTTCCCCGAATACATATCTACTGAGTAGTGATTTATCCGCTAGATAGCGCTATTCAGTTTTTGAACAACTGGAACCAGGTGTTACGTCTTCATAACGCAGCTTAGCAGTGTTGCAAACGATTTGGCAAAACTTCATTTTCAAAGGGTGCCTTAAATTGCCTCTTTATTTCTTTATTTGTTTTATTTGACAGTTTCGGTTTTATGTTTCTTTGTTGTTGTTTTTGTTGTTGTTTATTTTTGTTTTTCTTAGAGGGAAACCATTATTAATACCATAATAAGATATAAGGATATTTTCAGTCGATTACTCACAAAAAGCGAGTATCATTAACTTTCTGGAGACATTTGAGCGAAATATTGAGGATAGCTTAATATTAAACGCTTGACAGATCAGTCTTTGACGAGCTCTAAAAATGGTTTAAAAAAATATTATGGCATATAGAGCTGCTGGGATCTTGTGAAGTGATTCTTGGTCAAAATACTTGCCGTATACTGATTTTGCTGAATTATATTTCTTGATAAATACTAAGTCTACGAGGTCTACGACTTATAGATATTCAATGGTTTTCTGAGCCTTGCTATTGAGTTATATGGTGTTCATTTCCACACATGAAATTAAAAGTGGATTGGAAGCTGCTTGCCAAGTTTCAAAGGATGAGGAAAAATCAACATAAAGTAAATCTGTGCGGGTTTATTCAAGCCTTACTACGCATGAGGTAGTGGGAGGAATAAATGAAGAGCTATCTGCTACTGATCAGGATGGGTGGAGGACGGAGGAAGGATGGCATGTACTCCAACTTCCACCGCTTTTACGTCCGAATGGAAAAGATAATACTTTAAAATATATATCCAAATAATCGTATGATCACAAAACAGGTGATTCAAGACGATTAAAGTGGTTTCAAAATTCTATGTTTAATACCATGAAATTGGAGGACGTTTTTTGATCTTTTCTTTATGGTATCGTATTTTATGATTGGAACAAACGGAAAATAGGATTCAAACCAAGAATAACATTATTAAATAACCCTCAAGAATATCACTGCCTTGTTTTATTTGACCTTCTGCCTTCTAAACTCCCGCAAACCAAAGTGTCCAAAATTGATGTCTTTCTTATCAAATATTTGCGATCGGAAAAATGTAATGCTACTGATAGTTATAAAGAACTCAACAAAAGGTTAAAAAAAAAAGCATAACAGCTGGGCAGTGTGAGTAGCTTCTATTGCCGGTATTCTTTTTTTTTTTTTTTTTTGCTTACGTGTACGAATACAACAGTAATTTGGTCAGCAGGACCTGTATGTAAGAAACAAAGAATACTTAACCGCGTTACATCACAGGCAGCAGTTACTATAGCAAACATTGATATAAAAATCAGGTTTATTTTTTGTTTATCATTTGTCTCGTCGTGCTCAAATATTTCTCCCTACAATTGGTTTAAAGTTTCACATGGCTATATCTTAAGACCTTTTCATTCAAAATCCAACAGCATGGTCAAGTTGCTTGGTGAACCGTCCTGTAAAAATAAAAATAAAAAATGAAAACACATTCAAAAGTTGTCTAGATCTCAGGTCCTGTTACCACTTGGTATGCATGAATGAGGGGTCATCTCATTGTTTTGCAGGTGACAGCCCTTTCATTTGGCCCTTTATTACTTTTTGAGTTATTTGTGCACGAAGCCAAATGCAATCAAACTTGTGATTTCAAAACTAACAGACTGTGATTACACATAAAACCAAAAAGTCACTTTTATCCCTGTCTTATATACATAAACTGATGTAAAAACAAACACAACTTCGTGGAAGGCATTAAATTGTGCATATTTCTCTTAGTACCTGAAAATAAATATGTTTGGCTCGTAGTTTGTTTCCAATAACGAGGTTGGTCCTGTCTTTTTGTCTCCCATTATTTGGACACAACTGTCCTCCAATGCTATAGCTGGGAAAGCTTTGCATATTCGGCAAAGGTGCTCCCTAATGCGACTGCCAAAAAAGGGGGAAGCTAGATTGTTGAGAGGATCAGAGAGGGAATAGTGGTTGGTGGGAACAATCAACTCCTCTGGGTTCTCTAATAACGAAAAAGAAATTAACAAAATCATTTTTTTTTTAATCATTCTAGTACAAAATTCCAGTTACATAACAGCCATCTCTCACGGTTCTTACCCATTTTGTAAATGAGGGTTTGAAAACTAGGTCCGAGAAATAAAAATTATACACCATAATTAACTCTGTTGATTAATGAATGTTACCAAAGCAAATGGAGTCAGTGGCACAGGCGACTTCGAAAAAGAATCCGAGTACTTTCAATGGGACGTCCTTCTGGTTACTAGTTTAGAGTGTCTGTAGTGCCTGCATTTGAAGATTATCCGTTATGGGCAAGAACCTTGCCAGTAGACTGGAATTAATCTGTTTACAGTAATATGCATGCAGACAAACAACAGACGTCTAACAGCACACATTTGGTTTATCGGACCCTTTATCAACATTCAGAGTAACTCCCCCGGAGAATTTCTAGGGACCAAAATACTGAAACCCAGCTGGTATGCCGACTATGTTTACTGTGGGCAAATAAATCAGCTTGCTTGATTGGCATGATTAGTATGAAATAAAGGTAACTAAACAAACAGATATTTCCACCACGTTTGCGTGTGTTTGCTTATTTATTTATTTTGGTATTATCCCGGTGTATGGGAGAGGATGTCTTCTTTTCTTCGCCTTTATAAACACTTATTAATCAGAAGATCACAAAAAAAGAAAAGAAAAGGCATTGAAGCAAAATAGTAATGGTAAGAGATTCAACGACGTCCACTGAACTGTTCATGATCAATCTAGGTTTCTCGGGACTCGACAATATTTCAAGGTACTTATTATAACTACATCGGTACTGCTTTGGGCTAAAAGAAAAGACAAAACAAAAAGTGGTTCGTGTTGCATATGTGTATTGTATCTACATGAGCTTAGCCAGAATCATAAAATAAAGTAATTCTTATAGATAATGTTATTTTAACCATCGATGAAAGCTTAAGAAGGTCACCAGTACAAATCAGGTAACAAACCTACGCCTTCGATACACATCGTCAGCTACAGCTTTGGACGAGTCAGTCGATTTAGATTTTACAGTTGTATAATAGTATAATATTTTTCTCTTTCTTTTTAACAGAATTACAAAAATCGTGCTTAAATGTTTGTGTTAAAGAGAACTTTTTGACGATCGACGAAATGGATTTCAACAAATGGAACGTATTTTGGAGTATATGCTTTGGCGTGATGGCATTCATGGTAATCGCTGGAAACGCTATTTCTATTGTTATTCTTTCCACGAGAAGACTACGAAAGCGTCCTCACTTTTTGCTGATAAGTTTAGCCATTGCTGATTTCTTGGTCGGATTATTAGCCATACCAGTATACATGATTGTAGTAATCTCCGGAGCAAAGCTCGCCTCCAAACTAGCTTTTGACTGCGTGGATATGTTTACAGGATTTGCATCTACTTTTACCCTGGCCATCATTTCTCTTGAGAGACTCAATGCCATTGCTCGACCTCTCCATCACCGCCAGCTCACTTTATGGAGTTATTCCGCTGCTATATCGTTGCCATGGGTCCTGTCATCCTTCATAACATCGTTTAGGGTGCTTCTCGATTTTCTTTTCATTACT